GGATTTTCCGCCAGACGATTTTCACCCAGGGCTCACCTTTCACTTCTGCACACATGCTGTCTCCAGCCCTTGAGAAGGGATCTTGATATCCCAGGAGGCACCATCCGTCTTCCCACCACCAACTGCGCTGCTGTTTATGCTCCAGCCCTCTCCCCCCTCTCAGCCCTGCAGTGGGCCTGATCCTTGCTTTTTCCTTTATCTTTTTCTCTCTCAGGGCTCCATGCCTGGCCAAGGGTGAAGTGCTGGGGCAGGAGCTGTCTTTGGCCTTGAGAGCCCCTCACGTATCCTCTGTAGATGGGATGGAACGGGTGGGAACTGAAAGAGCAGTACGGGCCAAGGGATGTGCTGGCCACTGCTTCCTGACGCTCCCCTGATTTTAACAGATTGAAAAGGGGTCTGTATGCTCAAAGGTTGGGAGCCACTGCTCTAGACTTAGGCTATGTCTACACTGCTCCCGTTTCGCACAAAATATATACAAATGAGGTGAAGTGTGGAATATCGCTGTGCCTCGTGCATAATTAATGCGGCTCCATTTTTGTGCAAGAGGCTTTTGTACAAAAAAGAGCTATCTACGTGGTCCCTTTTGCGCAGAAACTCCCTCATGTGCAAGAGCTGTTCTTCCGCTTTTTTTCTTTTAAAGGAAGAACGGCTCTTGCGCATGGGGAGTTTCTGCGCAAAAAGGACCATGTAGATAGCTCCTTTTTGTGCAAGAGGCTTTTGCACAAAAACGGAGCCTCAATTATGCAAATGAGGCAGTGATATTCCACGCTTCACCTCATTTGCACAACGTATCCTCTGTAGATGGGATGGAACGGGTGGGAACTGAAAGAGCAGTACGGGCCAAGGGATGTGCTGGCCACTGCTTCCTGACGCTCCCCTGATTTTAACAGATTGAAAAGGGGTCTGTATGCTCAAAGGTTGGGAGCCACTGCTCTAGACTTAGGCTATGTCTACACTGCTCCCGTTTCGCACAAAATATATACAAATGAGGTGAAGTGTGGAATATCGCTGTGCCTCGTGCATAATTAATGCGGCTCCATTTTTGTGCAAGAGGCTTTTGTACAAAAAATATGCAAATGAGGTGATGCGTGGAATATCGCTGTGCCTCATTTGCATAATTAATGAGGCTCCATTTTTGCACAAGAGGCTTTTGCAAAAATGTGGAAGAACGTGGAAGAACGGCTCTTGTGCAAGAGGGTTTTTCCCCACAAAAACGGAGCCTAATTAATTATGCAAATGAGGCAGTGATATTCCACGCTTCACCTCATTTGCACACTTTTTTTGCGCAAAACGGGGCAGTGTAGACATAGCCTTAAAGTATATACCAACATAACTACATTTGTCAGGTGTGGTGTGTGTTGGGCGGGGGGAACTTGCCTGACCAACATGCGCTGCCATCAAAACTCCCAGTGTAAATGCAGATATGCTGATGAAACACTTCTGTTGTCTCCGCTAATATCTCCCCAAATTACGATCTTACGGTGGCAGAAATGCCTGTTGGCCCATGCTGTATCTGTACTAGTGGACTATGGTGGCACAGGTTTTGCACCAGTGGTAGGCGATTTGTAGTCTTATGGGATGCATGCTGCCTATTGAGGGTTCGATGGGTGGCCTGTGAGACATTTTGTTTACCATTGTCCATGTACAGGGTTGCCAAATTCTGCTGGATTCCATCTGTGTGGGTTTTTTTCCCTACTTGTGTGAAAGTGACATACACATGAAGTGAGAAGCAAGCTTATTGTATACAGCATTGACTGGGAGAGCCATGCGTTCCTTCTGTATCCAGTCAAAGCACTAATACGATTGTCAGCACACTCCACAAATCCTAGGTACACAAATGCAGTTTGCAGAACTACCTAGTTCTAGGTTGCCCATCGCTGCTCTGTAGCATAGACATAGCTTATGTAAAACTATTTTTCTTATCCACTGAGGGCTATATCAACATACTTATGCCACCATTGGCTCTGTAGTGTAGAAATAATCTAAAATCAGGTCCTTGGGTTATAGACCCTCTATGCACTAACAGTGATTACTTCAGCAGGCCCAACATAGATTCATTATCTGCAATTCTGGCCTTCGGGAGCTGTGACCAGTGGTACGTACAAAGTGACCATGCAGCCTTTTCCAAAACAAGGTATCGTAACTGAACACCTCTAGTGTAAGAATAAGGATTTTAAAACAATAGAAAAGTCTATAGCACTCTAAAGCAGGGGGTTCTCAAACTACATGGCACCATCACTCCCTTCTGATGACAGATTACTAAATGACCCCAGGAAGGGAGGTGGGGCAGGAGCCCTTGGGCTTTGGTCTGGGCTCCCCAACAAGTCTAAGCTAGCCCTGGAAATCCCATTTTAAAATGGGGTCCTGACCTGCAGTTTGAGAACTACTTCTCAAGAGCTTAATGTTTCTCTCCCTATGTTAGCAAACTAGGCCCATCTTCAAGCTTTTTGCAGAGCTTTTTTTTTGTTAACCTGTTTCTCCCACCAGCCCTGGATAACTGACTTTCCCACTCCCAGAAAGATACTTCACCTGATTAGTGCTGGTCTACTTGTAAAACTTAATTGAAATAGCTGTGTGTAGTGTAGCTATTCCTGCATCAATCCCAAGAGATGAGACCAGATGGGTGAGGTAATATCTCTTATTGGACCAACTTCTATTGGTAAAAGAAAAGTTAGAGCCACAGAGCACCCCTACCAGAATGTGATCCAATAAGATATTACTTCTCTCACTTTCTCTGACAAAGCTGTGTCCAGTAAGGATGCAGTTTTGTTAATGAAGATAACTCTGTCAATATAATCCCTAGTGTAAACCTAGGTTGGCATAGAAGTCCTTTTGGTCACAAGTCAGTTTTTATGCTGATTTAAACTACATCTACACCTGGAGGGTTTGCAACGTAGCTGTACCAGCAAAACTGCTCTCATAGACAAGGCCTCTGGCGTCCTTCTGACATGTTTAGGTTCCCAGCCCTGAACAAAAGTCAAGGAACTATGCTGGAGCCAAGGCAGGTAGACTTCCAGTTACTAGTTCAGTCTTAATGATCCTGAAACGTTCTGTCCCTTTTCTTGCCCTCCAGGGCTTATCTTTAGTCAGTGCTTCATTTCCTGCTAGTTTTTTCAAGTCTTTGGACTTGACTCCAAATAGCCAAATAGAACTTCTTACTGTAATCAGACAATCCTAAATTTAATACAGAGCAGTCCCATGTCCTTCATAAAGTGAGTACTCTGTGTTCTAAGTCTGGGGTTCTCAGGACAAATTATTTGGTGGCCTCAGTGTGGCTACCAACTTTTGCTGATAGCTGCTTTTATACTTTTTCTAAAATGCTTAATTAGCTTTAGGAAAACCAAATAGATGTGCAGAAGCACATGTCCAATTCATTGTAATTTATTTATTGCCTGCTAGTAAGCCTTGTGATATTAACAAATGTGCAAATATGATTTTTCGCAGCCTGGGGCAAACCAGGAGGCCAGTTAAGGTCTGGGTGGGTGGGAAGCGGTAGCAGAGGGCCAGAGGCTTCAGACATACCAGAGGATAGGGCCTGGGGACAAAGGCCAAAGTTTTGGGGCCAGGGCCTGGGGCCTGCCTTTCCATAGTTGGAGCCCAAAGCCCCACAACCAGAACATGCTGCCCTCCATCCCAGGCTAAAGCCTGAGCCCCACTGCCCCAGGAAGATTGGGGGGGGGGGCTCACCAGCTGCCTGCTCTGCTAGCCTTCTGCCCCAGGTGCCTCTGGAGGTGGGGTGTGGGAAGGACAGGACTCCACCTACTGGCACCAGCAACCAACACTAAGATAATACATCCAGAAGCAACAGAGAGGAGGAGGGACTTCTGCTCTGCTTCTACCACCCCCAGTGGTTGCATTTGAGAAACCCTGCTCTAGGTAATCTCTTCAGAGCTTGTGAAGCCATACCTGGGCTTGCCTTGATGGAGCTAGATCACTAAAATGGCCATGTTGCATGAGCTAGGGCCTTATTGCAATCCTGCCTGGAATCCTGGTACATACTCCGTGAGCTAGTCTATGCTGCTTTGGCTACATTGCTGTTTAGCTAGCTCAATCAGAGCTAACTTGGGCACATCTACATAGCTTAAGGTAGCCCTTCTAAACAGTAACCTGTTTCCTTAAAACCACTTGAGTCATCAGAACGTTCTTTCACCATTTAAAAAAATTAACGTTTAACTTCTAAGAATTCATTATCCTCTCTAACTGAAATGGATGAAAAATTACATGTTGGACTCCAGAATTGCTTCATTTTCCTGAACCTCTTACTCCATGGATGTGTAGTATTTTATGCAAGGAGCAAAAGGTGCATATTTTGATCTTAATGTGTTCTCACACCAAGATCCATTAACATACTCAAATGAGTACAGTGACTTTGTATACTATGGATATCAAAAACTGGGATATAAGAATATTTGGAGTTTTATGGCTTGGTTAATACTAGGGCGATCTTACAATTGCTATGGTATAGGGTGAGACTGTTTGCTGGCAACATCATTATGCACAGTAGTGAAGCAATGAAAACACTATCTCCTTAGGTGAATTCCTAGTTGGTTTCATTTTAAGGCTGGTCAGAAAGCAAATTAATTGCAAGTTTTCTGACCAGCCTTAAAATGAAACCAACTAGGAATTCACCTAAGGAGATAGTGTTTTCATTGCTTCACTACTGTGCATAATTTTTTTTTTTTTTTTTTTTTTTGTGCTTTCACACACATGCTCTGGGGGGTGAGGCAGGAGGATGGGAAAAGCATTTTGACTATCAAATTCTAACAGTTGGAATTTCAGAAGACAGAACACTTCAAGTTTAAAGGGAATGTTGAAATCAAAATAACATCTGGAAGTTATCAAATCAAAGTGTTTAGACCCAAACAATTTTTTGAATTGTTTGAAATGCTTGCTTTTATAATTTAGAATAATACAAAATTTTAATCTGTTTCTGGAAAAACAATTTGTCTTCTGCCCAGGTCTATTCTGTGGCAAAGCTGACTTCTTCCTTTCTTTGCTAGAATGGTTATTGTCCTTCGAGCATTGAGAATTATCATTCTGATGAGAATACTTCGCCTGGCCTCACAAAAGAAACAACTAGAAAAGGTGACCAGGAGAATGGTAAGTTAAGCTTCATGCAAACTTGTCTGAAGGTGCTATTGTGGCTTTCAAACTCTCCTCATGCGCTTAAAGTGGCTACTTAGTAATAAGAATTTTCACTTGTTCCATCTTCTGTTTTCCTCCTTTTCATATGTTTGTCTTGGTTTACTTTTGCTCTCTGGTTTCCCTCCCCTCACACTACACAGTTCTCATTCTAAAATAGTCTGAACTGCAAGATAGTAATAGGATTCTGCTACTAAAGCAATCTGTTTCAATTATTGATAGGATCAGGTACTGAGTTAGGGCATTAGGCAGGTTGAGAACCATTTCTGTACTGAGAAGCGTTTCCACCCTTTCAGTCCAGGGTCCTGTCTTCTAAAACTCCATAATCCCACTACAGCAGTATGATAGTGGTACTGAGGCATCAGGTAGTTATGGAATTACAAGTATGCAATTTTATCCTTCCACTTTCTGCTTCAACTTTATTTTATATTAAAAGATTTACTCAGCTTTGCTCAGGTCCTTCAAGGAAGGGGGCTGGGGATGTGAAGGGGCAGGAGTCAGGGTTGGGAGCCATGCTGGCCTTGGGGGGGGACGAAGAGGGGAAGGGGGGAGCGCAGTGGGATCATTATACAGTATAACTGTTTCTGCTAGCAGTCCCCTTCCTTCCTGTGTTAGGAAAACTATCAAATTCCAGGAGCATCCCATTGTCCTGGCACAGCCAAACCCTTACCGTGCTTAAGTAGTAAGAGGAAGCTGCTGCATACCAAACTTGGTGGTCCTTGCTCTCAAGGACTCACTCACAACTACACTCCCTCTAATATATAGCAGATGGAAGAAAATTTGCTATATCCCATGAATCTAGAAATGAGTGGCACAATGAAATTAGAAGCAAAATCTTGAATTATTATCGTACATATTATGTGGACATAAACTGTGCCTTCAACTTTGCGTTTCTTAGAAGCTTCACTTCATCATGTCTAGACGCAGCTTACCCAATAGCTTGCATCCTCCTTTTCCCCTCCCCTTGCTAGGATTCTTAATTTAAGGTAATTTGACGTGCACATGGAATTTTGGGTTTTTAGGGAATAGAATCAATACTCCCTCAGCATCTTGTCTGTCAAGTACAGATAAAGTAATGGAGACACTCCAAAGTATTTATATAGCTAGTTTACATGGAGTAAACGTACAAGGGAGTGGGGAAACTTGTCCCTTACAACTCAACCACACTACAACATCTTAAGCGAGGTACTGCATTTCCTTACCATCTCCATCCCAGTAAGAGTTAAATAATTCCCTAGAATCCTTTCTTAAAACAAAAGTAACCTTTAGTATTCATCTAATCTTTCTCCCTTGAAGGCAGACATGGGAGTAGTACTAATTTAGCAATTAGTGAAGATGCATCAAAGATCTTCTCCCTGTTACATTTCTCCACCAGGATGACGGATCATGGCATATGATGCAGTACACAACAGTGCGATCATTGTAAATAAGTCTCATCATGAATAGTCCAGCTAGCTAGATTAAGCCTCAATAAGGTCAGCTATAGTGCAGCTGTTTCTGGCTACTCACTGAAGTAATTCTTGAGCCTGAAATTGGACTAAAATGCAGTTTCACTTCTAAATTTGTGTGAATTCTGCTGCTGAGTTACCTAGTGCGAGCCACTTGTTAAAGTGTAAACCAGTGTAGAAGTTTAAGATTATGTTCATACAGGTTGGATTGGGGGTGGGAGAGATACTCTAGTGACCTAGCTATGTTACCTAGTGCGAGCCACTTGTTAATCTTAAACTTCTACACTGGTTTACACTTTATGTTCATACAGGTTGGATTGGGGGTGGGAGAGATACTCTAGTGACCTAGCTATGCTGGCATAGTTGCATCTACATTGGCGGTTTTGTCAACACAGTGTTTTTGTGGCCTAGCTAATGGTGTCTGGGGAGAGGCTATGTCTACACTAGAGAGCATATATAGAAGTTGCTATGCCAGCATAACTCCCTAGTGTACAAGCAGTTTCCTGACATTGTATACAGTAAAGCCATTAGCTATCTTTCCTTCTCTACTCCAGGGGAAGTGAGGCTCTGCCACTTAGCTTAGTTACTTGGAGAAACAGTAACAATCTGGACTATTTCACTAATCACTTTCTTTGATGCTTGCTAAATCTTATGGTTCCATTGACTATCCTTTTAACTCATTCATTCTTTTTTGGCTGACAGGTCTCGGAAAACAAAAGGCGCTATACGAAAGATGGCTTTGACCTGGACCTCACTTATGTTACTGGTTTGTATAATTTTAGAGAACTGTTGGTTATTCCCAAGTTCAAGCTTGGTGAAACTATTAAACTGAAGCTTTTTACTCAATGTATATTTGGGTGGAAAAGGTTCATAAATGTGTTTATCAAATTGTTTTGGTTGAAGTGAAGAAAATGGAAACTTCAGTTAGATTCACTAGGGAGCAAGGATGTGAACCACATCACAGGAGAGTGTCTTGACCACAGGCCATAGTCACCGTACTGCCCCTTTGCCCCAACACAGTCCTTGTGAATCTAGCCTTTATTTTCCATTGCTTTTGTTTAAAAATGCCCAAACAGACTTTTATTTCAGCTCAAACAATTTTTTCCAATGTCTTTAATTTGCCGAAATTACCTCACTTACTCTTAATTTTAGTTCAAATCAACTAATTGTCTCCCACACACCTATATGTAGAGATCCTATAACTACTAATTAATTTGTCTTGAGCAGCTCTTACTGTATAGAACGTGCTGTTTAGTTATTGATTTAGAACAGTGTTTCCCAAACTATGGGCCACGGCCCAATACTGGGCTGCGAGGGGGAAAAAAATACCGGGCCTCAGCGTGGCTGCTGGTAAGGGAGCAGAGCAGGGTGGGCTGGGAGGAGGAGGTGGGGGTGGGGCGAAGGGAGAATTGGCCGCCGGGAAGAAGGGTTGGGGGCAGCGGGGCTATCCCGTGAAGATCAGGGCAGGCAGGTGGGTGGCCAGTGGAAGCAGGGCTAGGGGTAGCAGGGCTGCCCTGTGGAGATGGGGGGAGGGGGCGAGCGGCCAGCAGAAGCAGGGTTGGAGTCAGTGGCGCTGTCCAGCAGAAATCGGGGAGGGCAGGCGGTGGAACCAGGGCTGGACGGGGGGGCTGGCCAGGGGAGAACAGGAGGGAGAGGATGGGGGGAACAGCAG